ACCATGGAAGGTTCACGGAGCACTGAAAGCATAACGGACGATTACACTGCACTGGGACTGGGACTGGGACTGGAATCGGAACTTGGATGGGCTGGACTGAAATGGACTGTGTGAATGAACAAGACTGCGTCGCGCTGCATATATGGCCTAGGTATGTATGTACCTACTGTACGTAACCACTCCTACTTGTAGTCCACTGCAGGTACGAGCTGTGGTTGTCATTGTACTTTTATAACCGACTCGTTTCTAACACAGCAATCGGCGACTTTGTGTATGTACGCACTGGCACTTGTCCTCGGACTCGTCAATTCGTGTATATAGACATACTAGGTACCTGCTCGCTGCCTGCTACATCCATGTAACATAACATATATGTAGATGTCCCGTACAAATCTACCTAGGCACCCACATAGTAGCGAGGAGCTCGCGTATGCTCCGCGCCAGTCCGTACATACAACTTCAAGTATATACGTTCCGTACTCGCACACAGGGACGTCCGAGCCAGGAAAGAAAAAAACAAAGTGTCAGAACGAAAGATGGGAGAGGGCCGTCAGTGAACTCATTCTTGCCCTTCTATACCACGATGTATGATGAGGATCTAGATCTTAACGTGGATCTCGGCGCAAAAATGAGATAGATTCTCTGGAACCGTCGCGGTCACAGTACAGTACGTCGAGAACGCAGGAAGCAGAACACACTACGTACAAGTACTAAAAGGAGCATCGGCATCGAACCTAGGTGAAGTGACAAGGACGGACTATCCGGTGAAGAGGTATCTATCCATAAACAAGTATGTATTTCTAGGCAGGGTGAGCAAAGCCATATTGGAACGGTGTCGTGTGATTCAACACTCCTTTTTTGAGCCGTTGGCTTTCGCGCTTGCGGTTGCCCATCTATCTAGTACATGTCCATATTACAAATACAGCCTCGAAAGGCCTGGTCAGGCCATAACCATGTTCAAGGACTGACATGCGTCCGTAGAGGCCCAGGGTGGCCGAGAAGAAGCAGCGACAGAATACCCCGTAAAGGCGAAAGATTGCCGCTGTGTTTGGTTTATTTCTGTCGTGCTCCGAATCCATCTTCATGTGTCTCCTGGCCTGAGTGCCTCCAAATGATGCTGCTTTTCTTCATCCTCGCATGCTGCTCGATCGGATGGGGTTTGCCAAAGGAATCGCAATCCAATCTGTGCATCAATCCTTTTCATTCATTCCAGTCACTTTGAGGGGGAGTTCGCCACTTTCTTTTCGTGTCTCCTCAAGCCTGTCATTCTTGTGGTTGAGCATCAGCAGATCCTGTATTCTGCGAAGCTTGCCCTGTATGTGAACATCATCCTTATCAAAGTCCCGTACCACACTTATCCATCTCATCTCTTCTTTCCTCCAGGTCGGGGCTTAACCTCTTCCGGCTGCACGCCATGCAGCATGATCTTATTTGGGGTCTGAGGTGTGTTCTTTTGATAGCCTTGACTCCAATCGTAGCACACCGCATATGCAAACACCGTGCCTTGCCTGTTGAATGCCGTTGCCGTGATGGGAGCACCCACAGCTGGATAGCCTTTCAGTCGGTGCTTCGCATTACCGTCCCAGAAGTGGAAAGTTCCGTCACTGCCTGCTGTTGAGAATGTACCATGTACGGGGTGAAAGGAGATAGCGTTGACAGCATAGACATTGGCGACGTCGCGGTTGGGGCCTGTGGTGGCAGGTGTGTCACGGTGGCATTTGAAGCTGAAGTTGTTGTCGGCAGCTTTTTCTTCCACATATTGGATTGCACATCTGCCCTCGATACTGCCCACGGCGAAGCCGGTTGCGTCCGTAAAACAACTGACCACTCTCGTCTGGAATTTTAGTGGCGACTGTACGGACTTGTAAAATTTCTCGGGAGAGTTGAGGTCGACGATATTGATGTATCTGTCTGCAGTGCCAATAACCAAAAGTTTGTTTTTGACGTCCATCGTGTAGACTCGCTCTTGACACTGTAATGTTGCGACGGGGTTCGGTGTCCGAAGATCCCAGTACTTGACTGTTCGATCCCATGAGCCCGTAATGAGGATGGGAGAGTTATTGATGGTGGCGAAGCGACACGCTCGAACGGGCTGTTCATGGGCTACTAGGGATTGTGGAGTCATGTTTCCTGATCCAAGGTCAAGGAGTCGGAAGGTCTTGTCGGCGCCGCAGCCTGCGACTTTTTGGCCGTCCTAACATAGCGTTAGTATATACCCCAAGCGTATCTGTATCTAAGCACAACTCACCTCTGACCACGCACATCCCAGAACTGGGGCGTCAAAATCCATGGCTGCCTTGCCTTCGCTCTGCCCTTGCTCATTCACCTGGTATATCCGGACCTTTTTGTCCCACGATGAGACCGCTAGGAAATCGCCCTGCGGAGAGAAAGCGAGATGAGATGTGCTATCCTCGGGGGGTTGCACTAAAGCGACATCCTTTGAGAGGTCTCCTGTTGTGCTCGTGGTGGTAGCGGCCGGGGCCGTTTGTCCAAAGAGTGTAGACATGTTACCAGACGATCGTCGTGAAGGTTTCAGGAGGGTCTAGAGATCGTTGCACAAACAAGTTGTTGATAGCAAGAGGAAGAGAGGCGAGATTATTATTGAGTGAGAGCCGAGAGAAGGTGGTGGGCATGAAAAGACAGCAACTTGGTGTTGGTGGCCAACGCGTGATTGTCTGAAGATTCGAGGCGCGGGAACTTGCCAAGAGGAAATATGCACCCGGATTCGGAATGATGGTGGCGCCGCCCTGTGCCTGGATGTGAAGCTTCTTAAAGCGGCGACGTATGATATATATATTAGGATGGCTCGGAGAAAGTTCATGTTGCTCATGATACCGAAAGCGGTTAAAGCCGTCCCCTATTGCGTATTCTCAGCCGTTTTACTAGGCTATGTAGCTATATACCTCCATCAGGACCTAGCAACCCTCCCTGGAAATACCAAAGATGGAACAAGATGTCGAATCATCCCCCGAAAGCGCCAGAACTGACGCTTCCCAGCGCCTGTAGATACGGAACACAGATCTGCCCCCTCTCCTGGAGAATTTATCCCCCTATATATCAACAGACTGTAGCCCTAACGCCTTAATCGCTTAAGAATCGACCCCGGGAGATACTGAACACTCATGTGATCAGAATTTTATTTCAAGAATCCCATTGGTTCCTATAGTTATTAAAGCACCTAGCACGTCTGCATTGATCTCACAGGAACATTTTACTTTGACCTTGACCTTGACCTTCATCTTTATAATCTTCACCTCCACCTCCACCGTCACTTTGACTCCTGCCAGTGCCCGTCCCCTTCCCCTCCCATTCCCCTTTACCTTCATCTTCACCTTCAAACTCGCCGTGTTTTTCTTCTCCTCCCTCCTCGCGCGTTGCAAAATGTTCTGGCTTTTCTTTATGTATGAAGCCTCCATGTCCTTCCTCACTCTCTTCTCCGAAGCCCTCGGCTGAGTGTAATTGATGACTTGAGCCTCCAGGATGGCTCTGGGCTGTGGATTGCCTTGGAGTTGCGACCTGGCTGTGACCTTGACCTTGGCCGTTGTGAATGTCGGCCGCTTCGAGCAATGCTGCGACCTGCTCCTCGTACACGAGGGAATCAGGAATCCCTGGGCGGAGATCCGGAACGGCCGCCTTTCTGAGTAACCGTGACACCTGTTTGTCGAAAAGAGCCTGAAGTGACGAATTGGCAGGGAGCACAGGAGGCTCCAGGCCTCGATCTCTGATTAATTTTATGACTCTTTTGTCTCTTTCGTTGAGCCTTCGCTGACCGCTTAGTTGACTCGGAACTAAATGGGTGCCTTGACCTTGCTCAGGGTCGTCCGAATCAGGGTCAAAAAGATGGTGACCAGGGGGAAATTTTGACCAAGGTTTTGCTGCTGTCGAGGGTGGTGGCGCCGGTTGTCTTACCGCCCTCAATGTCAGTGAGAATGACAGGAAACCCTCTATCGAAGCGGAAGAGTCCCGTCTCTGAGTGTCGTTGGACCTCCCGTCCCCATACTGTAACAGAGCACTTCAGGGTTCGGCGTGCACGTGCAACAACGCACTGAGGCCTGTCCAGCAGATCGGGAATCGAGAACGCGTTTCTGGTTGATACTGACAAGACAACACCACCACCAACACCACCCACAGGGGCAGCGGCTAGGGCTACGAACACCTAGCACAGTGGGAGCATCGAGGAATGGGACAGGACTGATAAAACACTCAGGAATTAGGTAGACGGCGCCAAAAAAACCATCGAATTCATGATACTCTCCTCAAAAACTGTCAAGAATGGCCCTCTGCCAGCACTGTAAACTGTCCTGCTCCCAGCGATCTAATTAGGTTTGACATGTGACCTGACAGACCTCTGCCCTGCCAATCCACCACCAGCCCAGCACAGCCACGTCGCCTTGTTACAATACGTCCCAGGTACGCTATCGCACCGAAGTGTCCGCCGCCACTAAATATGACCTGATGTGCCGGAAACACAAAGCCCTTCTGCCTTCAAAACCATCTATGGCCTCCGTCCGGGCCATCCACAATTCCCTAAGGATCGGCTGTTCTATACGATGGAGTACAGTAAGGCCCTTGACATAATTAGGAGCAATGACGAGGAGCGTGCTTGACACCGCTAGTTTCTTGCTCATTCCTTCTCGGAAAAGAGTCTGCGCCAACAGGAACCATTGATTCAAAGATACACGAACGTCCTAATCTCCAAGCTCGGTGCAATTGCAGATGAGACGTCCAGAGACGCGATGGTCAACTTGACGAATTGGTCCAATTTCTCGACGTTCGATCTGATCGGAGACCTCGCCTTTGGAGAGCCATTTGACTGCTTAGAAGGTCAACTCTGCATCCCTGGGTTGACCTCTTATTCTCTAGCATGAAGGGCATCACCTACATTCAAGCGAACCGCTATTTCCCGTCGTTTAAACCCTTTCGGCGGGAATTTATACCCCCGTCGTTCATTGAGAAAAGGAAAAGACGAAATTGACGGAGCATTCACAACCGAGGATGAGATGAACGCTGTATCTCTCTACCAGTTGAAGTATTTGCAAGCAGTCATCAACGAGTCCTTACGAGTCTTTCCACCAGTGCCAGCTATGTTGCCGAGACGTACTCCACTGTCCGGTGAGACTATAGACGGCCGATTTGTGGCCGGAGATGTAAGTCTTCAACACCCCAGGCGTGGTACTTTTGTTGTGCTTCCCCAGAATGCTGAATGACCCTAAGACAATCGTCTCGGTCAGTCACTTGACTGACTTCACAAACAGCCGCAACTTTTATCAACCCGACAAAGTTCATACCGGAGCGCTGGCTCGGCGACCCAAGGTTCAAGAACGACCGACGGGAAGTCCTCCAGCCGTTTTCCATGGCCCGGCGGAATTGCATTGGAAAGAAGTGAGTACATAGGCCGCGATTTGACGCGACCTTTGCTAACATCACAAAAACAGCTTGGCCCACGTGGAGATGAAGACCACAATTTCCAAAAGGATGTGGCATTTTGACCTCAAATTATGCGACGACAGCAGCAAGTGGTACAAGGAACAACGCAGTTTCCTGCTGTTGACCTGTGCTCAACGTCAAAGTCAGCCGGAGAAGCAGACAGACGCCTTATGGAACTGGGAGTGATTGAGATGCTCCTGGGTATTCATCGGCTAAGTCTTACACTAATCACTATGTACAAGAAGCTAAGAGAGGTATTCGAGGTGGACGTCAAGAACTCCATTTTTATATTTAGACATCTCAACCACACTCCTCCTTATCATCGCTTTCGACTTCATTGAAGAGTGTGTGGCTTTGTAACTTACGCGTAAGATGCTTGGGCATGGCTCAGGTATCAGGCTTAGCTGTTGATATCTGTGGATAAGAGGAAGAAGCCCACGATACCTGGGAGTGGAGTCCATGCAAAGACATTGATGCAACTTCACGCACACAATCCCCTTTAGGAAAGATATAACAGGTACCCTACGCTATCATAAAAGAACTGTGCGCGCATCTTACAAGACAGTTACTAAATTCGGTTTTTTTTTCAATCCTTCTGTTGCCTGGTCTGGTCCATAGAGAAGACATGTGACATGAATGAAGAATGCAGTAATCAGCCAGTATGATACTTAACACACCAGAGTGCCGTGAGAATTGTGGGTAAGCGTCCAGAACGAAGTGTTGGATGAGATACACTCGGATGCCGCTGAGAGGCACTGCGCCGGTGGAAATTCTCCGCCTCAGAGGTATAACGGCCACCTGTTCCTAGTGATGCCCAAAATGAAAGGTCGATATCTAACAATCTGAAGGTGCACTGATCGCGACAGCAAAACCATGATAGGGACCGCAAAGATGTCTTCAAGCGGATTAGTCAAGCTTTCCCTGATGTAGATAGTCAATTTATCCTACCACTGCTATATCCTTCTCGCAAAACCGAGCAGCTGCACCGATTTTTGCATTGCCATGTAGCAGCAGTTGCTCATTCGCACCGTTGCTGATCTTGGAAAGATTAGCCTGCCATATGAGACACGAGGAGACGGTACAATAGTCTCGTACAGAGAGCAATTCTTCCAGGTCAGCAGTGAGATCAACATCGTCGAGATTCCGAGGAAGCGAGGCATTAACTCCGCCAAAATTAAGTGCCGAACGGCCAAACGTAACTCAAGCTCCTAAATCAAAAGTAAAATAGTCCACCAAAAAAATTGCAATAGCTAACCGTCGTGCAGCGCACCAAAAAAGGCTGATCCAGAACTCAGGGTATGCTATTGTCAGCCTATACAGTAAAACAGGCTCTCAATCATGCTGGCAGTCGAGAAATTTTCAGCGCAGAGTTCTTCAGTGGTTCTAATTAAGCCGCTGAACATAATAGCGCAGATGATGGCGCACCTCGCTGTTAGCACCTACGCTAATTGTCTATGTACGGCCATTGCAAGTTATCCACGACCTGCCCCAATATCGGCAAAGCCTATGTCCTTGGCTCTAAGTATGAACTCAAATTTCACATCAAAGAGTATATTGAGACTCTGCATACCCTCGTGGAACATACAAAAAGAGGGGATGGCAAAGTAATGAAGATGTTGGGTGTCTTCCGCCAAAACTACAAGTCATCTATGGTGCGAGATCTTAGAGACCTGGCGATTCACAGCTTCCGCTCCAGCTCGTTCTCACTCAGATTTCGAGAAGAACACGTACGAATCCTCAAAACTATGCTTGAGGAGCACCATATTGTCATGAAAGGTAGTCTTGCATACCACTACCTCTGAGGCGGAGAATTTCCACCTGCGCAGTGCCTCTCAGCAGCATCCGAGTGTATCTCATAATCGGACCCCGTTCGACCTCGGACCGGGTGACTGGTCTAGTTTTGAAGAATGTGATAGATCGAGCGATAACAACGAAGACCTAACTAGGGTTCAAGGCAGGACGATTGCAGTTCCGACTAGAAGGGGATTCTAGAATGTGATAACGGTAGTGCCAGAACCGGGCATGCGGCAAGAGAACTTGGAATATTGATGATCAACTACGATGATGGCCTGTACTAGCATTGGGAGGCATTCAAATCGTCCATATGATCTGCGAAATCCTCTGGCGTGGAACAAAGGTAATTCCCTGCTCAGCGCTATGGCCCTGCACTCCGACCCTTTATATCTGGAGTACTATCTAATAAGCACAGAAAATGGCACACCCAATGGCGCAATTGTGGTATGCAAGACTACCTTTCAAACAGGTCTCTCTTTTCGGGCATTGGTGAGATGCCATCCTACCGCATCCTGGTCAGCATGTATACGAGATCATTTCGTACAACATCTCAGACTCTTGATATCCGTCAATACCCTGACGAGCGAAAGCTGTGGCTACCTTTCGGTCAGCTGTGAGGATAGTAGCATCTTCCAGCCTGATCCTAGCACCAGCAGGCACGTCTGTGCAATCCATCACCTTGGTCAAACCACCTTCCTCGATTTCAATGATGCGTTCTGCAATGCTTGCCAGGATGGCACTGTTCCAGATCCCTTCCTGCCTTGGCCCGTTGTGAAGCACTTCAATCGCTTGGCGTCTGAGCCTTGGATCCCGGCAACGGCTGGCCACAAGATACAACGGAAGGATCAACCCGGTGTCAAATTTTGGATAGTGGAGAATACGTCCCTGCGGCATGGTCAGACGCTTCGTCTTGACTAGATATGAGCCTAGAGCCACGAGTCTAGAGAACTCCGGTATCCAAGCGTCAAATTCCATTTCCGAGGCAAAGGAAGATGCCAGGGCCCAGAGATAAACAGCCAATCGTTGCATTTCAAGAATGACACAGTTGCGACGCTCCAGTTCAGAGAGGTTCTGCTCACCCCTGGCCCGAAAGTCGGCAAAGGCTGTGGACCATCTTCGAAGGAAATTGCTGCCGTCTGCACATCGCTCTGGGTTTGGCGCGTGCCGGCTCTTCACGCCGTGGATGATTGAGCCCATGCAGTCGTTGAAGGAGTCTCTCGCCTGGTCGGGTGTATCAAACTTCTCCGGGACCCTGGGCAACCTGGGCGTCAACTCGGGTACCAAGAGTCTCTTATCCATTCGCCGTACGGGGAACAATAAAGACTGCGTCATCAATCTTTTAAATATGTGGCCAAGCTGAACTTCAAGCTCCTCACCCTGTTCATTGCTACCTCCTTCTCGCGTATCAGCCTTGCTGTGGTTCGTATGCCACTCGCAAAAGAGGTACAGCCCACTTGAGAGCTGGCGCAGCGCAGACTCGTAATGGTTTTGGAACATTTCAAGGCAGATGAAGAGCAAATTGCTTATCAGTAGCTCGACTGTGGATGGCTTGGACGTCTGTTCCATTCTCTTCCGCATCTCGGCGATGGCAAGGGTGTACTGTTGCAAGGCGAAACTGTCGCACTCCCAGTCCGCTGTGCTTCTTTTGTGCATACCAGGAACCACGACGTTCTCCCAATGCGAGGCCAGAGCGATCATCGCATGTCGCAACGGGCCCACACTTTGAGCTACCTGGAAAGTCAATCTCGTCCAGAAGCTGGCATCAAAGTAGCCGGCCAATCTCTCGGCGACGACGTCTCGGAAGTACTTCAAAGCGCGATATTCCTCTGGCGATTGGCCCGGCGTGTGCGCCAGCCGTCGAGCCGTGAGCTTCGGCTCTGTCGGTTCCCACAGTACCACTCTTATTGCTGCTTCGCTGCCGGTGGATTCTTGAAACCCTGGGGTTGCTGAGTGGTATCTGCATTGACGCGCGCTCTTCTTACACGCGGAGCAGCGAGGCCGGAGCTGGTCGCACCGCACGTGTCGTGACTTGCAGGTCTGACAACCCCCTTTGCTCTTTGGTGCATATCTTCGCCGCGCCACGGTCTCAATGGACTTGACCATTTCGAGGGTGGGTGCTAGATGTCGACGTTTGGCGGGCAACAAAAGGCTGGTAAGAGGTATTACGGCGATGTCCCTTGCGGAAAGACCTTGTCGTACGAAAGAGACCCGACTTGGATATTATATAGTATACTCTCTGGAAGACAAGCCGGCGCTCGACTGGTAGGCGGGGTTCCTTCAGAAATTATCACTGGAAAAGAATTAAGTTGCACAGCTTCGCCTGACGTTCTCCAAGTAATGATACGTTAACCTAGACAGGACTTTCTCGGCCTTTGGCGTAGGAAAGGCCGCCTTATTTCCGCTTCTGAAATTCCCTTATTAGGTATGGTCCAACGAAGACCCGAAAAAAGCTCCTGATCACTAGTGAAGCTAACAACGGTAGCAACGGATAAGTACTACAGACTACGCAGGTAAGGTGAACGCAGAGAAAGACAGACGTATGAAATGGTCGTATGGGGAGATCACAGTAAGTTCTTCATACGGGACCTTTTCATTATCGTCTTACAGAGTTACTTATATTGCCATGATTCGCGTATAAAGCGCATACGCCATAAGGAGCGTGGAGTAGTTATGTTGCATACATATACAAGTACAAGTACAAGTACAGGTCCAGGTACCTTTTCGACCTGCGGCTTCCAATTTGACCGGTTTCTTAGAAAGGAGCGTCGTTTTCTTCGTCGTGTTCTGTGAGAGCAAAAAAGGAGATCACAAGGAAAAAGGAAATACAGTCCCGCCAACGTCGTGGTGTCTTTTGATATCATAGGCGGTGTGGCTTCGCCTTTGCCTGGCCTTGGTTTCTGCACTGCCGTGCCCGAATTTCGTGAAGTTCAGGGGACGTAGGAGTAAATAGTCGTAGACATTCTCACAAAAGCGCGAGGCATGACATGACGTAACTCATGCCCAAAGTTTGACGCCGTGTCTGTAGGAGAGTGCAGCGGCAGAGCGACGCTCGATGCGCGAAGAGCGTTTCGCGGCTCTCTTTTTCTTCTGTGAATCCGCTGCAAAAGCGGCGGCTTTCTCGGCTGGCGTGCTGTCGTCTGTTTCCCCATCGCTATCGGCGACCTCTTCTGCAGTCCCGGTGGTCGCCGTCGAGGCTGTGTTATTGGTCCCTGTGCTAGTATTGGTGGCGGTCGTCGTGTTGGTGTCAGCAGCAGCCGTGCTAGCCAGCTGCACGGGAACGACGCCACCGAATGGGCCTGCTCGAGCCTGATTCTGGCAACGGACCATGCAGACATTATCTTGGCCGGCCACGGTGCCGGTGCAAGTCTGCCCAGCGGGGACTTCAGCAGTGAGAGGCTGAACAGAACCGATCAGTGTTAGTGTATTTGGCCTTTACATCTTTGACAGGCGCCGACATTGCGTTGAAGGGACAATAACTTACAAAATCAGTCTTGGCTCCTTTTGCGTCATTACCTCGCACGCCTGGAACATTTTGGCTAACAGTCATCTATTCCCTATGTTAGAGATATTCTCGGCCGTGATGGTGCTCACCTTCGTCCATGTAGTACCAGTGGCGTCGGCGTTGATCATGCAAGTGTACGGGCCGGCTCCGTCAGCATTGACCTGGTGCAAGGTCATCTGGACTTGTCCGCCTGCGCTGATCTGTGGAAGAGTGCCACCGTTTTGCGCCAGGACAGCACTGGTGCCACTCTCTGGATCATTGTCACCGCCTTCGAGAGTTTCCCCGAAGGTGTCCGCAGCGTCACCGGCGAAGCGTGTAGTGTCTTGTTGGAAGGGACGTCTTCGCGTTCCGTCTCGAGGAGTGGAAGGGTCGATTCCCAGTGCGCTACCCTTTCCTCCAGCGTCACCAGTGGCAGCAATGATGGCACCATGACCAGCGGCCAACTGTGCAACAGCAAGAATTCCAAAGGTAATGAAAGACGAATATGCGACCATGATGTCGATATGAAGATGATCAGAATCAAGGACCGGCCTTGGAAGCTCAGAAAAGAGAGAGCGACAGTGAAAAGAGATAGGTCGACTGAAGAATGAAAGAATGAGTTGCAAGAAGTCACTGGAAGTGGAAGATGCCTCCATATTTGTAGTTGGGGTAGGGTGGCCTCTCTGACAGACAGTACCTTTAGCGGCGAAAATTGTAACATCTATTGTAGAGCCCAGGGGTGTGAGTCCGAGGTTGTGTAGAGCCTTGGATTTGGAATATCTCTCTAGCTCGTCACAGACGCCTTTACGCAGAGCTAACATACAGCAACAGGTAGCCGTATGAGGGAGAGACCGAGGCCATCCAGAGTTCCATTGCACGCCCATTGGTGCATTGAGAACGGAAATGTCTTGGAAAGTTTCGTTTCATATCCTAGCTAGTCTCGACTGGGATGTTGAAGGTGGAATGAAGACAACTCAACTGGCCTGATTTGGTCTTGGTGTGTTCGGATATGGGACTCTCCAGTATTCTTCCCTACTTCCGGTTAGAATATGTTTGATGGAGTCTAAAAGTTCGGGATTTGTATGGCCATATGGTGACACTACATATTGGAGAGTATGGTCCGTGCCATGAATCGAGCGTAAGGAGAAAGTCTCGGATAGTCTGGTGTAGAATCCGAGCAAGGCGAGGACATTTACTGCTACTATCAGCATCGCATAGCATGTTGACATAGAAATGGCACAAGAAAGCCCTCTTTCCGGACAGGCCAGGTTGCACTCATCAACGGAGAAAATCAGAAGACACAAAAAGATCCCTAGAGACTTACCACCTGACTAAATTGGCAGGTCGGAGCCATGCTCAGCTTTCCAATACCTCATCATAGACAACCGAATAGGCACAATAAGACTGGTTTCGGAGTGGGCCCTGTGGAAAGGTTAGCCGCAAGCGGCATGGTTTTCGAATTTTCAAGAGTGGAAGTCGACGTCGAGGTAAAACCCTAGCTTTGAGTAAATGTGGGTCGCCATTACCTCGTACAGAGCTCATTGAGTGCCTCAGCCAATAGGCAGAATCAGCACTCAAGTGGAGAGTGATAGCGACATCTTCTTTTGGGGAGTATTGGGGTCGATCAAGTCCACGTAGACCGGCCTCGACCACTCAGAGTTGGTCACAGATTCAGTGTCAAATAGAGCGGTGAGCGTCTAGTGATGGGCATAGCCACCTCCGGCACGGAGCCTTTGAGGATGGCGAAAGTCCAGTAGTTTCGTGGGCAATGAGTTGATGCTGCGAGACGTGAGGGAGTACGAAGTAAGAAGGCCAGAAAGAACGAGAAGGCTGTGCAAAAGCTCGGACGCAACGGAGCCAATCGGAAGTGTCGTTAAGAGTTTCGCATTAAGCATTCCTCCCGCCCCACAACAGGCTTGGCATCAAGTGCTTTCTTCTCTTTCTTTCATAGAAAGAACTTCGCTTCATTGTGAAACTCGGGCGTTATGCTCAGCCCTCGGCGATAGATAGAACCAGACCAATCGGCGTCGAGCCGAATGTTTTTGGGCCGAGGAAGAGGGCAACCTGACGTGAATGTCGGTGGAAGGTCCAGCAGAAGCAACCTTCCGTGAAGCAGAACTGAGACCTTGGATGTAGCAGTGGATGGCTGGGATTGTGCAATAGTCTATGTCGGGCTTGAGAGCTGGAGAAAAATTGAAGTTGTATTCGTGAAGACAAACCGCAGCACCACGTCCAGACGAGCCGCAGGGGAGGCAGCACTGTCTGAGAGGCGCTGATTGTAGAAGAAGGCGAATGGAAGTACTTTGGCAGAACGCAGGATCAACCTGAAAGACGGAAATAATACTAGCGAGCTGATAGCATCTCGATACGCATTGTAAATCTCTTGCAACATTGTCTTCATTCCTGCCCGAGGCGATTTGTATCTCCACCGTCAACATCTTCTCTGAAATTCATACATCTAGCTGAACTTCCACTGGCCGTTGAAGGCCTTCCCTTTTTTGAGATCCGCATCTATCCTTGCCGCGATCCTTTCTTTGCCGCGTACCGCCACATCCATCTCTATCGGGATGAAGTTGTATCATGTGTCCCACAATCTCAAGACGTCGGTATCGATACTTGCGCAACACCATCAACGACCTTCGCGATCGCCGCATCTTCTCCAACGTCAGCAACTCCGTTGGCCAGCTCTTTTTCTTCCTGGCCCCCTTTCGCGCTCTTTTCAACACCTCCAGCTCCAGCCGCAGCCGCAGCCTTTTGAGCCGCCTTCTTGGCCTTGGTCTTTTCCTTCTGAGCTGCTTTCTTCGCAGCAGCCTCTGCCTCTTCTTTCTTCTTCTTCTCCCTCTCTGCTTGGTTTCCGCCGAAGTACTCACGCCATTCATCGGCCTTCTTCTCATCGATTTTTGTAAAGAGATACTCTGCCTTGCCAATCTTGTGTCCCGGTTTTATATAAGTGGGCACCCAACCATCTGCAATGTCTTCCTCGGACGGTATCTGCAAGAACGGGAGGTCGAGTTGTTTCCGTATCGACGCACATGTTGCCGGAAGATATGGTTCGAATATGGCAGAGCAGAGGTAGATGAGATTGATAACAGTTCCCACAACTGCTGCAGCAAGAGTAGGATCACTCGCAATGAGTGAATTGTCAAGGCGATGAGCTTGGATTAAGCCATTTCCCGCTTCTGCAATCTTCATGGCAACGAGGAGTCCGTTACGGAGGTGCACAGCCTCCATTTCTGCGAGATATTGTTTGAGAAGGCCGGTGACTTCAGCTAGGTGTTCCTTGAACGATGACGGCAGATTTTGAGGATCAAAATCCGGTATGATCCCAGAGTAGGCCTTCGGGGAATTGACTAATTTGATGACTCTGTTAACGAAATTCCCAAGCTTAGCGAGGAGCTCCGAGTTATTGCCATCGATGAATGACCGCCATTCAAACTGCGTGTCCCCTGATTCTGGTCGGTTCTTGAGGAGATAATATCTCCAGACATCTGGCGGTACGCCGGTCTCTTTTGCGTTGTTCCCAAACACACCTATGCCGCGGCTCTTGCTGAATTTGCCGTTTTCGTAATTGAGGTATTCTGTTGATGAAAGATGGTGCAACATAGTCCAAGCCTCCCCCGTCCCTAGCTGACACCCAGGGAAAACAACAGAATGAAAAGGCACGTTGTCTTTGCCCATAAACTGGTATAGTTGAACATTTTTCGGATTCTTCCACCATTTTTCCCACTCCTCTGTGTAGTTGGCGGTGATGGACGGGTATCCAATACAAGCCTCGAACCAGACGTAGAAGACTTTGTGCTCGTATCCCGGCAGAGGGACAGGCACACCCCAAGCTAGATCTCGAGTGATACCCCTCTCCTTCAGACCTTGTTTCAACCATGACTCTGTGATGACTTTGGCACTTCGTGACCACCGGCCATTCTCGATCGATTGTTTCGAAAACTCTTCGATCTGGCCCTGTAGCTCGTCAAGGCGTAGATAGGTATGTTTTGTCTCTCTTGTCACAGGAGTTGCACCGTCGACTTTGCATCGAGGGTTGATCAAGTCCAGTGGATCAAGAAGACTGCCGCATTTGTCGCACTGGTCGCCGCGAGCATCGTCATAACCGCATTTCGGGCACGTGCCTTCGACAAATCTATCTGCTAAGAATTTCCCATGCTTTTCGCAGAAAGGCTGACTGTTGACATGCTCAGTAAGATGGCCTGCTGCGTGGAGTTTTAAAAAGATAGCTTGTGAGATCTCTGTGTGCTGTTTGGTAGGAGTTCGGCCAAAGATGTCGAAGCCCAGCTCGAACCATTCGTAGATTTCTGCATGGATTTTATTGTATTTTGCGCATAGCTCTTCTGGGGTGACTCCCTCCTCAAGAGCCTTTGTCTCCGTGGCGGTTCCGTACTCGTCAGTGCCGCAGACGAAAAGCGTTGGTCGTCCGCGCGCTTTGTTGTACCTGGCGAAGACATCGGCACTGAGCACGCTGCCGACGATGTTGCCTAGATGAGGCACCTAGCCGAAAATATTAGCCAGTATTTTGCGCATGTTACCTGATTGGACTTACATTGTTAACGTAGGGCAATGCAGAAGTTATGAGGATGTTTCTCTGGCCCTCTTGAGGGAGGATCTTCTCGGTGCCCATGGTGGACCACGTGGGCTTTGATCGCGGGCGGCAGGGTCGGTGCAGGTGTTGTTAAAGGACTTCGAAGAATCGACGCAAAGTCAACTTATCGAAAGTTGATTGTCTGTGCGTTGAGTCAACCAAGAGCTTGCCGCATGTGGTGGTCGCATACAAATAAGACACTGGTCTGGAATTTGAGGGAGTGGAGGAGTCACAAAATCTCCCCGCCCGCCGCAGCGCAGGCGAATGCCGAGGCGCTAAGACTGATGCTTATTTTTAAGCCTCATTGTGTGCTTTCAATATTCCTTCCCCCCCCATCTCCCTCCTTCCGCCTGCCTCTCAGTCACGCGATGTCTTTAGATACTGCAGCGAGTTCATTCTAGTATCTTCTCGAAATCCTAACAAACCAACAGTCCATTAAGCAGCTTCTCTATTTGGTACTTCGTCTTGCCTGGCACTTTCGACTCATCCGGCTTGAAGACATATTTTGCAGTATGGCCACGGATCCACTTGATCAGCTTCTCGAACTCGAGAATGACTACTATAAAGAAGGTTATGATGCTGGTGCAGCTGATGGCGCTTATGCCGGCATGGTTGAGGGCAAAGTGTTCGGGATTGAGAAGGGGTACGAAAAGGCAATCGAACTCGGGAGACTACATGGACGTGCCCTGGTATGGCGAGAACGATTATGCCTCGGGAAGAAAGGGGGTTCTGAAGAAACATCAGAGTCTCAGGCTGCTCATTCTTCAGGACTAGGAGACATCATCCAGAGTCTTTCGCAGCTGTCGGACAACACCCGCTTCCGACGGCATGTTGAAGGTCTGTACCATTCTTCCGACGGCGCAACTGTTGCAAAAGCCAATTCGGACGAGGCGGTGACCGAGTTTGACGACCGGGTTGCAAGGG